ACCTGATTGTTGAGTGTATCGCCCTCTTGCAGTATGTCCTTCAGACCTGTCATTGCCATCCCAATAGACACACCCTAGGATAAAAGGATCATTTTTAATCATAAGTCTGGTGTTCAAATCCACCATCCCTTGAAACTTCCCTCACAGTGCTTATTGTTATCAGGAAGGAGTCAACTACTATTTTTCAATTAATCTTTCCACTGCCAAGATCTCATTAGTAATTCTTCTTACTGTCTGTGACGCAATTCATATAAAGTTAATTTTGAGAATTTAGTTTGGGATCAACTAATAATCTCCTAATTGACAATTTTCTTTATTCTCATCACTTGCCAGTGCTTGATATTGTATTGATATTGTTAAGAGAAATTCTGCCTTGGTCACTCATGGGAGTAAGAGGGTTAAGGCCGTTTCTCACTCCTGAAAGTTAAATAAATGAAATATTTATGGATAAAAACAAAATGAAAAATCTCATTGAGATAACAATGATGAGGAGGTGACTTTGATCAGGTTAACAGTTGATTAATGCACTGGTGGCCAATTATTTTCAATTTGTTTTAATTGCCAGTGTAGCATTATGACATCAATAATTGAGTTTAACAGGAGACTCCTGAGAGATGACCAGCTAACAATGGTATGATTGTGAAAGTAGAACCACTTGACTTACTGTTCTTTCTTTTTGTTCTTGCCCAACCAGTTTCCATTTACAATCTTCTAGAGCCTCATATGCAGCAACTAATGCAAACAGGCCTTCTGTTGTGGTACTTCGTCTGTCCTAAGGGGAGAAAAATACCCCATCTTTATCCATCAAATTATTACACTTCCATAACTGATTTTTTTAAAATGTAATTAATTAGTGAGACTAATTAATAATCCTTACTATCTTTATTAACATACCATGCTGATGACTCTTTAACTTACCACATTAAGTTTTGTTTCCCAATGTTTCCTGTCAAATTCTCCTAGGTTTGTACCCCTTGGTACAAATGCAGCTGAAATTTAAATAAATAAATGAACAAAAAACCATTATTGTAAATTTAAAATGGAACCAATGGGATTCACAGTGTTATCAAATTTGTTTGTTTGATCCCTTTCAAGATGCATTGCATTTCAGTTTAATTTTGTAATACCAAATTCTCTCTGTTTAAACTAATTGCATATGGAAGTTTATTTCTTGTTTGTTAGATTAAAAAAGTATTGTCATTTCAGTTTTTCAGAGCAAATTTGACAATTTAGGGCCTAGAATACACTGAAGCCATAACATATTTTAAAAGAAAGAGTTTTATATGCTTACCTATTTTGGCTGGAATTCCTTTGAACTCTACCATGAAAAAAAAAAAAATTTCATAAGAATATACCATAGATTTTAGTTTCATCTTTCAAATAATTTTGGTGCAAAGAATAATATAGGAAACTATAATTCATACTTTCATCATAAATTTGTGTTATTCCACATTTTCCTTGCAATAAGTTTTCCCAGACTCTGGTTGTGCCAATCCCAAGAGGAGTAACAAGACCTGCAGGGATACCAACATTCAGTTCATTCACAGGTGACACAAGCTCATTTAACCCTTTACACCCCAACATCAGTATGCATATTCTCCATACTGTCCTTCATACATTTCCTGAGGTGCTACTGAGGAGAATTTGTTCAACAATCAAGAGATTCTTTGGTTGGAGATCATTTCCTTTGATCTCATGACCTTAATGTGTGATTTAGCTGTGATATTGTAAGGAGAAATTAGATACTAGTCACTCTTAGGGGTCCAAGTTAAACAAGGTTGTTCTTCATCAATAAAACACCAACCAATAACTTATGGATTTTTTTAACGAAAATTTACTTCAAACCTAAAATAAATATGTTGATGCCCAAATAAAGACCAGTAACTTTGAGGTCTTAATCTTTCCATGCCCAATGTGCAGTTGGATGGCAATCAGTGGTCATTTATAATGTAAAATGCTAAGAGTACTTACAATATGAATAGCAAATTATTGAACGAAAACTAAAACCTCACTTCTGTTTCATAATTTTGATGCATAAAAGCAACATTATTGAATAAGTTATGAATGAAACTTCACACACCGAGGTTGGGCTACCTGTGGTTAATTTTGGCTTTGCATTTATCAGTCAAATCTAACAGGAATCTCTCCAGAGTGCCCATAGTATGATCTTCCTAATAATTACATATCTGTCTTTAATCGTCAAATCTTTAGCTGTTTCAAATATAATTTACTCTTCTCACAGCACTACCATTAATTTTGGTATTTTCTGGTATTGGGGTGTACTTCATCAAATCATCAATAGTTTTTTCTGTTTCAATAGTTTTTTCTGTTTCTGTTGAATTTTTCTGTTATTGAGAAGTGGCAGAGAAGGAACATTAAGATGGTTTTTTCCCTTTCCCAAAATGAAATTCTATCAGTATCCGACCTAGACTTCCACAACACTTTACTCCACTAAGTTCCTCTCACACCAGCGTTTGTAATCTACTGCCATACTTCACCTCAGAGAGGATCGATCAAAGGAGGATTTGAAAATAGAAAGACACGGGGCTTACCAAGGCCGGTAACAACAACACGGCGTTGAGATTTCCACATCAAACCTCCACAACTTCTACCTATGATAGATTTGCAATTTCTTGCTCTCTCGAAAAAAATGAAATCTGGATTGGATTTCTCTCTCAGTATAGCATGTCGGTAGTTTTGTCACAATTTGGCAATATTACAATTCGTAAAGGACACGTTTTTTCAAAACTTTCCGCCATGTTTTTGGGTAACCAGGCCTTCTAAGTTACAACACCTCTTCTGCCAGTCAGTACTTAGGGTAAACCCAAAACTTGCGTTCACTGGTTCAACAAATCTGGTAATCTTTGATTTCTACGTGTGTACGACAGGAGAGGTCAATCTGATATGCTATTTTTCTTTCCCCAGTCTGCTTTTCTCCTCTTTTTTAGTCTTATGGGCATCCTAAGAGTGGATACCCCAAATATTGGGGGGCCATTTGTGCGAAAATATCAATCGCTAGCGATGAAACTAAATCGTTAGTGCTAGCAACAAGTCGTAACTGTAAATCAATTTAGTTACCGTTCTAAAATGGTCAATTGTTAGTGCTGAACCTCAATCGCTTTTGTTATTGCACCAAAAGCCGTTCTCCAATTAATCTCCAATTAAAGCGCTTATTATAAAACGCTGATGCTCTGACGATGGTGTAAAACCTACATGACTTGTGTTATTTTTAAAATACAGCCATCGTAACGATGGCTATCGAACACTGCAACCCATCGTTTGTGAAAAATAGAAAATCGCTACCGCAAAACATAGATTGTCGTGCTAGTATCGATTTGTTACCGATTCTAACTTGAACCAGTCTCCCGCTTGTTTGGCAAGATAACCCAATCAAACCTTGCCAGGAGCGCAGTGATGGGCTCCTGACCTTGCTTACTTTCTTGCAATCTGATAAAGGACATTGAAATCCAAAAAAAATTTGAATATAAATTCTTTTTAATAAATCCTCATCGAAAAGTTATTGTAAATCTAAAAAAAATCAACTACAAATTCTGATTAGATCACTCTCTCCACAAATGACTTACTAAAAACCCCAAAATAATTTGCGATCCAAGATTGTTTGTGAAGTTCAGAAAAATGTTTGAAATCGCAGAAAATGGCTTGGCCCGTGGTTGCCACTATGACTTTCGTCGTTTAAAATACACCGCAAAAAGTAGAAGCGTTTTGAAGGCTGATTACCAAGCGCAAAACAAATCCAGAATCCTGAATCCCTCATGCGCTACGCTCTGGCGCAAAATCGTATCTACCACTTTCATGAAAGATTGTAGTTCCTCTGAGAAGCAATTATAATTTGATGGCGACGCCATTTTGTGCTCGTTACGAAGCAGGAAAGTAAAAGACATTTGATGTTTTGCGGAGGCGATTTCTACTTATCTCAAACGATCGGTGGCAGCACTGACGATTGGCATCGCTACAATTTCTGTGTTTTACAAATAACACAAGCCGTAAAGGTTTGACACTATCGATAGATTGATATTTAACGCTATCGATCTACCTCAGAAAACCAGCGATTTATAATTAGCGCTTTTAATTTATGACAAGGGCGTTTGGGGCAACAACACAAGCGATTGAGGTTCAGCACTAACAATTGACCATTTTAGAACGGAAACCAGATTGATTTACAATTACGATTTGTTGCAAGCACTAACCATTGAGTTTTATCACTGGCGGTTGTTATTTTAACGATTGAGTTTTATCACTAGCGGTTGTTATTTTAGTACTAACGATTGAGTATTATCACTAGCGATTGGTATTTTTGGCACAAATGGCTCCTCATACCCAAACACTTGTGATTTGGGTACTGAGATACCAAAAACCACCGTGACATCGTAAAGAGGAGAGTCCCTGGGGACGAGCTTATCAGAGACGTGGGTCTTGACGGTAACTCTAAAGTAATAAAGTAAAATAATATTAATTTCTGCATGAGTCACATTCATTGTGAGTTGATAACTCACACCTTCCTGCGGCAATTCATCATAGGTACCAAGGAAAGAGGATCTTATTCGTCTAACACACTTCATATCCGAAAAAATACTACCCCGCTCGCTCACCAAGGGCTATCGCTCTGAACAGCAGCTTCAGAAACTCTCAACGATGGACGATTTAAACTATCTTAAATAAAATAAAACCAATTATTTTGTAATACCTCCACTGACGCAGCACCACAATGTCTTTGGAAACTTACCCCTATTATTCTTGACGCGCAAAGTCGACTGTTAGAGAAGGCGCTAACTACTAATTAAAGCCTACATAAAGTCAGGATGAAGAATTGATCGGCGAACGATTATTAGCGGCAACAAAAGGATGTGTGACGTTGATATTTCGCAAGACTGTAACTGATTCTACGTCATAGAATTGGTAAGTTGTCGATGGCAACATGATACACGAGAACGGATAGCTGTCGTCTTTTAAGAGTTCGCACAAACTTCAGTCCACACTGCAACATCGACAAACTCGTTTACATCCTCAAGAATAATGGAACAAACTTTCAGGCCTGAGTCTCCTCCAATTCTAGAGGTGGTTATACCGTTTTTGATTAAAGAGGAAATACCTTCCCAACATGAGGGGCAAGAATCGTCAGAGATTCCAACCGTTCAACCGGGTAAGTTTCCGAGTTCCACACCGATAGAGAAACGACATATTTTTATAATTTCATTTTAAAGCCTGCGATTTCAAGAAAAAAGAAGGCAAGAGGAGAGCTGTCCGTGATTTTTGTGTGTTTGTATGGTCAAGGAAGAAACTTAGTTAATTGAGAGAAACAGGTATCTAGATATCACACAATTTTAGGGCGCTGGATTTCGTTTTAGGCAGTGAGTGCAAAAAATACATCGAATCTTGAGAGTTTCTCGCGACGAAATAGCTTCACACACTGAACGATTGAAGGAGAAGCGTTTTCCTGATAAATTTGCAGTTTCTCGGGGAGATTACATACGAGGTAAAAAAGGCAGTTATCTTGAGTCAGTTAATTTTCATGGAGAAAGCATCCAGTACTTGCAAATATCAGTAATATTCTTACTTTACATACTATCACTGTTTTTGTCTTGTTTTTCTAAGCTTGCTTTTCAAAGCTGTTCGTTTCGATCGCAGCTGATTGGAAACCTGTGAGAATTCCAGCCTGCCTAATAAGACAAAACGGTCCGATTTTTACAAAGGGACAATTTAACAAAAGTAAAATTTCAGAGGTTCTTTGATTAACATACTTTTGCCGGTAATGCCTCCTTTCGAAATCAGACCATCTCTATCTTAAGCACTAGCAGAATTTGAAGTTACGAAATGAGACGACACAAAATTATTCAAAATTGATTCCGGTAAACTGTTTGGAATGAACCATAAAAATTTATTCCAGTGAATTTCGATCTAAAATAGTGGTATGCCGGTAAAAATGATCGACTGTGAAGCTAGAAATTATGTAATCAGCGTTTCGTATAAACTGCTCATCAGAGATACTCTCTCAGGTTACACGCTCGAAATAGAGTGCATATTTATTTTACGCCTGCATGAAGGAAATTGAGAGTTTTTCTTGTTCCTTCTCATCTCTGAGTCTTGATTCATGGTAAAAGAAAAAAAATAACAAGCTTCCGGAACGCCATAATGGTGGCTGGAATATCATCTGCTGAGTTTTATTTTTGGAGAGTCATTTATTCATATTTTTTCGCGCTCTTCTTTCCTGATTCTGGAAAAACAGCCACGCTTTTTTCTCTATTTTTTTTCTTTCCGACGGAAATAAACGGATGATAAATATTGATGCTGTCCGGGGTCTATTGATTTTGCACCACGTGACGTGAAGGAGCCAATAAAATCGCGCGAAAATTAATGAGTTCTGAATAAATTTTGTCCTTTGTTCCATTCTCATATATAGTGAAACACGAACAAGTTTCTCCAAGCGTCGAGGTGATCAAGAAGCGAGCGTGCCGCACTCGTTTCACAATTTATCAAAGAGCAGAACTGGAGGCGGCCTTTTCAGCATCACCTTACTTGACTCCTCACCAAAGGATGGCTTTGGCTTCAAGACTCAGAGTCAAACCTGTCGCTGTGCAGGTAATTAACATGACTGCTTTGAAATAAAAATTAGATAACATTCATTCAGAACCAGCCACGCACAGAGAAAACAATCTTTGTCCTCTGTAAAGATTCGAACTTTAGGTAAAGTGCACAGTCAAGAGTACAGTCTGTACTCAAGCCCAGAGGGCCACCCAACCAGAACTAATCCTGGTTTCCATGGCATGAGGTGACTAGGAGTATTACGTCTCCCCCCTGGATGGGATAACAGGGGGTGTGTTATCCCATCAGGGGGGAGAGGTTGTATCAAAGGATGCCCCCCTTTGATAAAACCTCGTTGGCGAGCTAGGTCATATGGGAGATTTATATTATAATAATCTTAATCTTATAATTCACGTTTGCTTTTTGCTCGCTCCCTATTACAGTTTAATTCCAATGCACTTTAGGTGATTTGCTCGTCATTTCGTGTCTCTCATTTTTCAGTCATGGTTTAAGAACAGACGATTTAAGTGGCGCAAAGAAGTACGGGAAGGCTCTCACGCCTCGCCAGCTGCGCTACCTGCACCTGCACAAGGTATTTCCTTGATGTATCAGCCACGATATGTCTACAGTTCTGGTCAGTTTCCAGTGTCAGCTCAGTGCCAAGGATGTTTCACAAGACAACCATCCAGCGACTCGCATTCACATGTAGACTTCACTCCGTATCCCTATTCTTCTCACTGACCAACTGTAAAATATCTATGTATCTTTGCCTTATATATATGTATATTTTTAAATTTTCTCTTTGCCTAAGACACTCCTGAAGACGAGCCGGAGAGGAGGGGAAGAGGCGGAGGTCTTGATCGCAGGAAATAGATCATAATTACTTTTCGTACGCCAGGGCGAAAGAGATTTCCTTCTTTTTTCCTTTTTTTTCTTTTTCTTTTTTTTGTTTTTGTTTCAGTTCACAGCGATTGATATTTCGGAGTGCCCCCAAATGACAGAAAGGCTTTAATCAACCCTCTCTTCCCCCTCTGCTCACACCCATGAATTAAATTTTAAACTACGTAGAATTTTTGGCCAATGAAAAATTTTTAAATGTAAATAGATTTCTATTTGCCTGCTTTTATCTTTGAATACTTTTGACACGTCGCTACGAATCTTATGATAAGACAGTTTTTATTTCTAATTCAGCAAAAATTAGTATGCGCTGAGACAAAAATTTGTTGCGAAAAGTCCTAGTACATAATTGCGTGTTTTTTTTAAATATCTTCATAAACCTTGTTTTCAAATCTGGTTTGCTTCCAGTCCCTACTGAGTCTGTTATCTTCAATGAAGGCCCTTTCTAAACGGAAAAGCGCTATGCGATCTTTCAACTTCATTTACAAGTTGGTAAATAGATTTTTTTTTTTTTTTTACAAATAATTGGTCACCAAGCCAGATACTGGGTTATTGGCTTCATGCTCAAAAACAGCAGCAGGTCTGCTTATTAATTCCTATTTTGAGTAACCAAACGATGTATTCATAATTGAACCTACATAGATCGACGTTTTAAGATGTGAAAAGTTGTTTGCGAAGAAAAACAGTTTTGTTGTTCAGAAAAGAGCTGAGCTGAGCTCAAATGTAAAGAAATCGAAAGTATCATGGAAAAAATGGCAATAGTTGATCTCATGAAACTTGGAAGGATGGAACGCTATTAATGGGGAGATTAAGGTGTGCCCGAGAAAAATCAACTGAATTTATGTCAGTTTTTTTTAATAGAAACACCGAAACGTCGAAGGCAAATTATTTCAACATGCATTACCGAGAAATGGTTAATTTGTTAAAATCACTTTATACATTGTATTAGAAATAAACTTGTATGCTGGTATTGCGAAAATAAATCAGTTTTTATTGTTTGAAGAAAGTGCATAGAAATAGTATAGTGCGTTTAGATTTGTTGTTTGCACAATGGCTTTGATATGAAACTTTAAAAAATCACTCTCTTTCCTTTCCCCCCAAATGACTTACGTGACCTATCAACGAGTAAGAAAAGTAACTTTTCATTCAATCCTTGATCTCCATGGTTTGTTCCCTTAAAGCTCAGCCACCGATCTGGACCTGTGAGGGGATGAATTTTGCCTCCTTTTGAGTTTAGCAAATTTCCGCCCGATTGCTATTAATCCAAGGGGAGATGAGTGAAGTTCGACCTTTAAATTTCACACCGAGGTAAAGTGCTCACGAGAGCACTTTCTCAGCCTGGCTAACATGAGCTTTCAATCTTCAACAAGCAGAGGTGATTCAGTGGTAGAATTGTATCTTCCCATGGAGGAGGTCTGGGTTTGATTCTCGGCCATTTTATCTTTTACCGCTCTGCTGAGTTGTCTCTCCTTGTCTCCTTAAAGTACTATACCAGACTTTATTTTCGTGCAAACAAATCAAACGTTTTACATAGGGAGGCTGCAATGATAAAATCTTAGATGCATGGCCAACATAGTCAGGAAGTGAAAAAAATCTGGTGTTCCAAACTGTTTTCCTTGTCTTACCAGCTGAAGATCAACGGGTACCTGTACCTCGGCAAGTGAAGCATAATAACCTCATGTATGATGCTATCTAGACATGTAATGATACATAAAAATTGCAACCTTGGTTCAGCTTGGACTTCTTTCGTGGAGTTTTGAGGAGAGAGACGTGTTCGTCAAACTCTCATTTAGGCTATATTAAAGTTCACATGGCAACCAGGTGGACAATCAGACATGGTTTGATGCTGCTCTGGTTTACAGATTTAGTGAATGTAACCGAAGAAGTTGCAATTCATAGACCCAACGTTTCGACCCGATTTAGGCGTTGAATAAATTTTTTTCAGGTTCCCGAAACCAGATAGTAATGAAACCGAAGGCAATTTTGAATAAAGCTCGCCATTCAGACGAAGAATGAGTGTTCAACTTCAGGTCTCTTTCCCCTTAAAAGCTCTGATGTTTCAATACCTGAGGAATTCCTAAATTCAAACTTCAGAGTTCTCCAGAGTCCTTTGTGTGAGATTGGCAGAGAGATCATATACCATCACTGAACTTGGAGTTTCACTTTTTTCAAAACTTTTTATTCGTGAATATTCTATACAGTAGCTGGCTAAACTGATGCAGTTAAAGATATATCCCTAAACAAGTAACATATCAATTACGCCTAAGATTATATAGCGATGTATATACATAAGTCTATAGGTAAATACAACTTTCAAACGTAAAGTAACCTTACAGTTTAACATGTACTTCACCAGCAGAAACAAAGCAGTCAGCCTGTATAGTTACATAACCGTATAGTACCTATGTTTGCTATGGAAAACCCTACGAAGAAACGGTTTTTTTTTGCTTCACAGTATGAAGAAATGACAAAACTACAACGGAGCAAAACGGAACAAAATACCTCTTTGTGGTTCTACGTTTTTCTTACTCTATACAGTTCTCAGAACCAATCCTCCAAAGAGATCGCTTACCGACTACATTATCAAAATAAATATAAAATTAAAATGGTGGACTTAGAATTAAATAACAATAAGTCATGAAGAGCGGTAAACAACAGCTTTTAAAAAATCTTGTCCCTGTCGGGCAATGATATCAGGAAATGTTAATCAGAACCTTGTAGGAAAGTTTCTTTTCGGCAGAAAAAATTTGCTTGTAATGTTACCAATGTAATTTCATGCCACTTTGCTCATCTACAAATAAAAATTAAAGAACAGAGTGTCACATAGCATTTCTATAATCTGCAGTTAGATAAGGAAGATCGTGAATCTGGTATGGTTCCCAGCTCACGAACGAGTTCTTTGTAGCATGAGGAAATTCCTTGATTTTGGGTGCGACTTCATTCACTCCTTTTGATCTCTTTCTTTGTTCTTATCGACAGTTCTAATTGCTTTGGTGTAAGTCGTACCACACTCAATCGAAATGCATCCTAGACATTTAAAGATAGTTATCATTTAGGGCACTTACCACTTGCTTTTAGCTCGATTTGCTATCAACAACTGTTTCTAGAGACTCCTGTACTGGGTCATCAAGCATGTCTCTTTGAAAACCACCTAAGAGAAATGATTTAAATCTATGGGTAATGTTTATGACAAGGGCACCCCCAAGTCTACCTTGAAACAACCCTTCAGTGTAAGGTCCATCAGTCTTCGAGAATCAATCCTTACTTTTTCTATGGAGGTCCAAAGAACATTATTTCAAGTACGCATATTTTTGTTATTTCCTTTTTTAGTACCATCTTAGGACAATTTGACCAAAACTATAATGCTTAAATATTTAGATGACTGACTGAAATAAATGATTATATAGAAAATCAAGAGGTTTTCATTAAATTAATATAAATCACTTTTTCGGTCTGAGTAAGAGTAGTGTCGAGGGGTGTCGTTATTGGCCATTATTATGGTGCATACTGCTAGGATTAGCGATGTCGATAGCGTCATTTTTGTAAATAGAGAAGGACAGATAGTAAGTTTTGAGCTCGGTAAAAAAATATAATGAAACATTTTTTTCGTCTTGTCACGAGCATGGGATAAAGAAAAGATTCCGAGTTCCCATGAGGAATTGAACTTCAGACCTGTGGATTCTGCGTTCCGATGCTCCACCACTGAGCCACAGAGACTCTATGGTGAGCGAGGCCCATTACAATTTTAAAACGTGACGTGATCGACATCGCTGATCGCTCATAATAGAGTCTCTGTGGCCCAGTGGTAGAGTATCGGAGCGCGGAAGGTCTGAGGTTCGTTTCCTCATAAAGACTCAGAATATTTACTTTGTTCCATTCTCCAACCCAGACGATTACACTATAACTCCATTTCATTTACCGCTTTCTTGAAAGTCAATTTTAAAAGGATGCCCAGGTGTCGTTTACCTACCTTCTTCTGCTAAAGTGCTGTTTGCGAATTCAGATGGTGCAGTTGCAGTGGGAAACGTACTATATCCCTCAGATGACAGCGATGATTCTGAATACCCTGGGGACATAGTTGCCCCTGAGTCACTGATGTCAGCTGACGCCGTGTTAACGGAAGACGCAGGCATCGACGACAAGGTGGTTTCATCCTCTGCCAGTGAATCGTCACCTACTGGCGACGATAAGGTGTAGACGGGAATCTCATCCGAATTATCTTCGAGACTTATATCTTGGGACGCATCCTCGTGATAATCATTTAATTGAGATCCATCTACATTCACCACTGTTGGATAAGCAATATTGGTCAGAGGAGGCTCTGCAGGGCCATCTATGACAGCCGGAGTCTTAGGTTCATCTGAAATTCCATTTTGGTCGTTCTGTGAATTTATGGCCTGTGTTTGTTCAGTTTGTTCCAGAGATCCCTGAGTAAAGCTGGCTGCTCGTGATCCATTATCTATTCCGTACGATGCCGGTTGACTTTGTTTGTTTGGCGGGGCTTCACCGGAATCCAGGTTCTCCCGAGGGTTGCTATCATAAATCGTTGCATCTTTTACAGCACTACTTACTGAAAATATTGCCTTATCTGAATCATTACCACTTAGAGATTGGCTGGTGTGACTCTCATTCTTTGGTTCGATAGACTCTGTCGAGTCTGAATAAAATGCCTCTTCGCTCTGGTTTCCCATAGTTTGATTTCCTGCAACATTCACCACCGCGGGCTGATCCGAGGGCTCTTTAACACCTTCATTCGATCCGCTAAAATCAGAGTGCATCGTAGTGTCCTTTACGGATGTCTTTCTTTCACTTACATCAACGATTTTAACTTCAGTAGGTTCTTCTCCCGAGCCACTTTCTTCTTCAAATTCTTTGTAATCGTCTTCACTGGCATCTTCATTGTTTCGCACATCATCGAGGGAATCGTCTCCACTCCCTGACGTTTCAATATTCTCTTCTTTCTCTTCTTTGATGTCTCGACTATCACTCTCTGGTGCAGTGGCTGATTGATTTGATTCTGTCAACGTTGCATAAGATTCAGGAGCAACCTCGACAATGTGACGGTCATTTTCGTCCATTGTTGAGTTCCTGTCCAAGCTTTTGGGTTCCTCAGGTAACGATGCACTATCCAGGCGTAATGATGCATTGTCAATGCCATTTTCAAAAGTTTTTTCCTTTTTTCTTAGGGAGATAGTGTTTTCATCGTCTGTTAAAATGTTTTTCTTGGATGCGGCATTCTTTGGATTGGTCCCCTGTACGAGAGGCTTGTCCTCTCTCTTTGTGCTAGCTTGTCGGTCTTTAAGCTGATATTTGTTATTCATATCGTCTATCTCATGAAGTCGTTGTTCAGCAGAGTCCTCGATGGTATCATTAGATACTTCGTGTTCTTGTTTCTCTATAGGACCATACATCTCGTGCTCCGAATAGGTTTCATTTCTTCTGTCTGCCTTTTTTCCTTCGTCACTGTTGAGGTCTTTTGTGGAAGTAGCATCTGACTGAAGGAGAAAAAACAGTTACAGGTTCATTTGATAACTGTCAGGTGATTTTTGGGGAATTGCATGAAGATGTGCTTAATTGAAACCTCATACTCAAAAAATTGGTTTATCTTAATCACAAGCTCTTATATTAAAATATCAAACGCATTTACTTATTGATTTTCCGTTGGGAAGAAGACACTTACTGTGTTTGCTTCACCATTTCCAGAGAAACCACTCTCCTTGTTATGATCACTGCTCGCTGCGTCGAGGGCTTTATGTAAGAGAGCTTCAACGTCAGTTACAGACAAAGCACTTTTCCGCGAGCCCTCCGGAGCAGCAGCTGGTGTTGATGATGAATCTTCTATGAAATTATTGCCTTCAGTTGAAGTTGTTTCCGATATTTCATTTCCAACTTTATCATCATGGGTTTCTGCAACAAGGTAAAAAGAACCTAATTTTGTGC